CTTTGAAGGTGGAGAAAATCCCTTTAACTGATAACGTTTAGACCTGACAAACGATAGATACCCACAGTACTCCGATTCAACTTTTTCGTACTCGTAAAAGGGAAAATACGCTTAAACTGACTAAAATTTCACTTCTTCCATACCACGAATTCAATCTTTTAATACTCGTAGCACTCAACTAACTTTCTTCTAAAACGTTGTAATTAGCAAAACTAACTGTTCTGCAACAAATACTTTCAAATACAGCTGCGTGCCACCACCAAACACTTGACTAACAAAAGGTGTCGTTTAACGTCCAGTTCGCTTATTTAAAATCTTTTTCCTCTTCTCACTTCCGTTCCTTCTTCCTTAACAAAATAATGGGCGTCTTTGAAAGATCAAACTGCCCCTATGTTCATTACGGCGATAACAGGTCCTTATCTTGAAATTTAATTAGCGTACGCGCAGCGGTAGGAACGCTTCGTATCTACGACCGGAGAAAAACATGAGATAAACTTTTACAAATACTACGTAAATAATTTCCAGAGGTTTCTTATTTTACTAACATAATTTCTTTACAATTATTAAATAAACGAGACAATTCCTTAAACAAAATTAACTAATAATTCTGGTACAAAACAAAATCGACTTCGAAATCAAATGATATGGCGGCCATTGCGTTCAATCCCAATCCATGATCACGTCTAACATTATTAAAAAATTCAAATTAGACATACAGGGTGACCCATTATTACTGCAGGTGCCGAAGCCAAATAAAACGTCCGCGTGACGTACAGTGGCACCACGCTCAGAAAGTCCCTGACAGGGCGTGTCCGAGGGCGCTAGAAATTTAGACCGTACATTCTGATGCAAAATTTAAAAACACTTTAAGGGAATTACATATCTTATCAGATCGTAGATCCAAGCTATATGCGTCTTGAAAAAGACGGGTTTGTATAAAACTGAAGACGGAAAACGTAAAATGAAGCAAATACAAGAGGAAAAGTGTAAACTAAAATAACGTAAAGCGTCAACTGTCAAAACGGAATAATTAATAATTATAGCGCGGAATGTATCGCGTCGTTTTGTAGACTTTCTATTGGCCAGCCTCAATTATTTCAAAATTAGTTCGCATATTTTCCGGGGCTTTTCTTCTGTTTTCTTTCTGTTTCATGCAAAAATAAGTATTTTCCAATTCTTCAATAAAGTGTGGGTATTCCATTTAAAAAAACGTAATTTTGATACGCCACTGGTGTCGGGAATTGTGCACAATTTTGCTCCTACATTTTTTTCATATCTTTCATGGTATAAAAATAATGATGCGAGGGATCTTAGATGGTACACCCTGTACTTTTTCGCGCATTTTTGTAAATTAACCTTTTGCAAAGCGCGGGTCTTCGAGAGGTAGTCGACTTCAAGCGCCCAAGAGTTACTTTCCGCTGCGAATTTTGTCACGCGATTTAAAGTGTCTCGAATGGCGGTCTCTCTTTATCGTATCGCCAATAGAAGCTCGAGCTCGTGTGCCCCAAACATTGAGTAATATTTTGTGTAGGGTTTTTTTGCGAAATCTACAAAATGTCGTATGTATATGATTGCGGGGGCGTCAGAAGTGGGTATCGTCAAAGGGAATATGGCAACCCCGGACAAGATCTGACTGATGGGGTAGTCAAAACTTCAAACCCGATTTACGAGCGAAGGAAGCGGCGAAAGTAGGTTCCGACAAAGGCAATGGCTAATGGAATACTGATCTGCCACACAAAAATGCGCTTCTCTTCTTCGGTTACACACGAGTACTTTTTTATTATATTTTTTAATTTTTGTGGTTTATTAGTGTTTTTGTTTTATTTTTTGAAACTTGTAACAGCCACAGCGGTTCCTTTATTTCCAGTTGGAATAATACACGTATTATTTAATTTTTGAATTTTTGGGAAAAGTTTTCTATACCTATTGTCAACTGTTTATTAAATATCTTGATTTTTGATTGGTGGCAAGCGGTTCTGGGGTAAACGGAAACACAAGAAGAATATTTTTGACATTGACATATGCTTAAATCTCGCCTGTGTGGCTCAGTGATAGAAAGTTGGGCTACACAACCTGGAGGTCGGGTGTTCGAACCTGAGTTGAGGTGAATTTTTCATCAGTAGCAGAGATGGGAATTTTCTTAGATCAGTTTCGAGCATTCTGTCGGCTACTCCGAATTAGATTTTCGTGCAGTTTTCCTAATTCGTAAGGTAAATACTGGAGTAGTATAGAACAACTTAAGACCTTCTGCAGGGGCACCTCTAAAAAAACCATTATGCGGTTCACTCTGTAGTGGGGCGAAAACCTGTTGAGGACCCATAACAAGAGAGAGACGACAATAAATAAATATCATACAGGGTGTCCAAAATTTAATTAGAAATTTCATAATTTTCAAAGTTGAAAAAGTTCGTTTTTTTAAATATGACACCCTGTTTATTTGATGTTGCAATGTAGAATTATATTATGCAGCGCTTCGAATAACTGTGTATATCTATTTTCTAACGGTTTTCTTGTTAATTTATTTAATATTTTAATGTGATTTTTGGCAGTTGATACCACACGAATCTGGGAGCTGATACTGTTTTGACATAAAATCAGTAATATTGTTTGTGAAAATTCAGGCTTACTAGGTAGGACCTTTGGATGGAGTGTTCATCTATAATATGGATCAACAGTTACAGCAAATCGATGCATCAAATAATATGCAGGGTGTCAGATTTGAAAAAAATAGGGTTTCAACCTTGAAAATGATGAAATTTGTCCTTAAATTTTGAACATCCTGTATGCGATAAATCAATTGTCAATGTGTATTTAGAAAGTATCCTTCCGTCTACCCCAGAAACGATCGAAAATTGGCAAAAGTGGCGTTGTTAATAATAAGGCTACATCTTTCAAATTATTTTAAGAAATCGAGGATCAATAAACAATTAATGCTAATTGGCATACGACAATTTGTTTGTTTTTGGTTTTCGAAGGGCGCCCAAGAAGAATGCAACAGTGTCTTGCATCTTCCCACTGCTCACACAGCATTTCAAACAATGCAGTTTTTGGAATAGAAAACATTGAATATTAAAAACAAATTGCCTTCGTGCGGCATCAAAGTGTATTTTTGTATGGCAGATCAGTATTCTATTAACCAGTTTTGACTCCACTATCAATAAGATCTTGTCAAAGGCTACCACATTCCCTTTGTCGGTACCAACTTTCCGACGCGACCAATTGGAAAACAATCGGACCAACACTGTAGAAAAGAAAAAAACGGAAAAATCACCACGTTAGTATAACACGCTCGAGGATGGCGCACAGATGTCTTCGACCCCACATCATGTAGTCCCGTTCCTAAATTTGTTAATTGCACGGCCCCGGTAGGTACATGTACAGTTATACACTCTTCGTCTTTCTACAAGCGTTCTTCTACGGCCCGCATTTGCTGTCAGCCGGCCAGCCCACCAGCCAGCCGATCAAAGCGAGATTAAAAGCTTAAAAAAGCCATTGAACATGTTTTTCTGCTGAGTAGTTACGCCATAGCTTGTAGAAATTTTCACAGCGACCTACGTACTTTTAGGGCATTTTTGCAAATTTATTTGTAAAAAGGTAGCTTCGAGGGTAGCTTTTAATCTCACTTTGGCTGGCTGGCAGTAAATCCGAGCCCATAGAAGAACGCTTGTAAAAAGACGAGGAATGTACATGTACCTATCGGGGCCGAGTAGGGCCGGGGCTACCAGATGAGGGGTCGGAGACATCTGGGCGCCATCCCCAAGCGTGTTATACTAACCTGGAGATTGTTAAGTATTTTTCCATCTTCTTGTACAGTTTTTCTCCTATTGTTTTCAAATAGGTGTCGTCGGAAAGATCTTGTCAACGCGCAAAATCCCTGCGTGGCGGATTTTTGTTTTTTTTTCTCCTAGGGGCGAAATGAACCACCTTTTGCACGGCGCGCTGGGAGGGTTAGTCGACTTTGGGCACTCAAAGTTTCTGAAAGCTCCAATCGCGGTTTCCCTTTCTCGTGTCGCCAAGCTCGAGCTATCAGAAGTACCCAAAAATTTAGTACTATTTTGTGTTTTTTTGCGAAAACCACCAAAATTCGAATTGCCGCAAGTGAACGGGACGTCGGATCTGTGTACCGACAAAGAGAGTGTGGTAACCGCCGATAATATCTTACTGATGGTGGAGTCAAAACTTCAAACTCGAATTGCGGGTGAACGGGACGTCGAAAATGGGTACCGACAAAGAGAATGTGGTAGCCTTTGAAAGATCTTATTGATGGTGGAGTCAATACTGCCTAATAAAACACTGATCTGCCACACAAAAATGCGCTGAAGTCTCTTCGATATCACACGAGGACTTTGATAGTTTGTTAATTACCACGAATGAGGAGATAAGCAAAATCCGCCTTTCTAGTCTAGGATACGGTGTTGCAAATGCCATTACCCGTGTAGAATTCGAATTTGTTTGTTTAACTGTAGAACCCGCAGTAAAGGATCCGTATTCAAATCTTAAGAATTCTGTCGATTCGAATTACGTTCCAATCCGACTCTTAGCAATCACGAAAGTGAGTTACGAACGAAAGGTGCTCAAATGCCAGCAATAAAAAAAAACATGTAGAAAAGCATGTGAAGAATTTTATTTCATTTGATTAAGCCAAGGAAACTCGCCCGCTTACAATACTATGATGAAAGAGCACTGCTATATTTGGAAAAGAATTATTTAAAACAAGGTATATAACAATCAACCTACGATATTGTTAAATCAAGAAAGAATTCGCGCCACGACATTAACCGGAAGACCGTATAAGACGATGACTATAAGCAGTCGATCGATACCTAATCGTAAATTGTTGTTAAACTTGCTGGAAACGTTGTTTTGATGCGAGAATTACGTTGTGATATAACAATAACATTAATGCAATTCCGATTCGCGAGTGCCAAGCAGTCTGACTTATTTGGTTTGTGAGACGAGTGGGGAGTTATATATTCACTATACATGCACACAACGTGCTCTATTATGTATGTGTAACGTGAAAGGTCTCCACGCTACTCACATTTCCTTGATTTTTTTCCACCCGCTTCGGATTTAGTCTTAAAATTGTTTTTATTGCGATTGTGTGATGTGCTCATCCGTGTCATCGTAAATATCTTACATTGTATGTAGTTATTTCCTAAACTGACGTGATCAAGGTGCCGAAAATAGCTGAATAATATATTTAGAATGTACGATAGGGACAGAATCAGTTCTAACTTACGTTTAAACAAACATTTTTTCATTAAAACTTCAGCTACCGACACCGAGGAAGTCGATTTATTTATAGACGTTCATTAACATGATTTATTAATGTTACATTAAATAGTAATTGTTTAGAATTAAAATTACATAAATAAATAGACACATTTTTTCATAATTATCGTACGCGGTTGTATTTGCGGGAACAAAGTGCGGAATTATTCGTGTCGCGTTTTAATGAACCCAATTAATAACAAATCCATACACACAATTACTTACTGATTACATTTTTCTTTGATTTATAGCGCTCCGTTCTGATTTTATCCGCTCTTTTAAGCAAATTGTTATTACAAAGTTACGTAAACCTAAAGGGATAGTGCGATAAAATGAGACGACGTGTAATTAATGGCATGTGTATAATAATAGTGCAATTTTAAATGAATTTTTATTATAAATGGAGTATAGTAACGGGAACTTCCTGATGCGGCATTCAATATTTTGGAAGTATGCGCAAAATGGACATACAGAAAGTGGAGTAAGTTCTAATTACTTTGTTTCTTTGTTCTTCAGTACTAATTTGTGTTTCACTATTCCGATGATGCGAAAATATTCAAATGTGACGTTTCATCTGGTCAATGCAACCGAGGTGATGTCATTTAGATTAAAGATACATTCTTCCTTGAAAAATGTTCAATTTTAGAATTGCAGACAATCAGTATTTCCGCGACCTCACCCCCTACAGCCCTGGCAAATTCCACGTTTTTTGTTTAAATACTTTTGATGTGCAGCATAGATACTAATTCATATTGACGCAAAGGCCCTTGGTTTCAAATGAAAAATAATTCCGTAATTTATGTAGATTTACAGCCCTAATACGAGCACACCTAAGAGCCTCAATCGAAAAGTAAGTTTTTGGATATTTTTATTGCGGATCATTTTCTATACTTTCATTGTTAGAAATCTCGTATATCTGAATTTTAAAAAAATGAAGTAGCTGTCCTCACTTCAAGGGCTGATTATTTCAAGTAAAGAAACGACATTTGTATCAAAATTAATCTAGAACTGTAGAGCAACTATTGCTTCAAATAGAAGTAATAATGAAACTACATTGTCGGGAATGAGTTGAAGTTGGCACCCCGTACATAAAAATTTTATTTCGCCTCGTCCAGTCCATATAATGAAAATTATAAGGGTAGTATACAGCTGATAAAAGTTTCACAAAATTGCCGAAAGACAAAGCTTTTGAGTCTATAACTATTTATTATGCACCATGTTAGATGCTAACTGGACCATATCGAGATACCTCTTCCCAGGTTGGACTTTCTCCTATTTTCCAGTTCATCAAACGCAAATCACGGTCAGTTTCTTTAACTGTATTAAGTTGCAGGTCCGAGTAGCACCGCGCACCCTCACAAACTCGTCTTCGAGATTCTTAAGGTGTTTAGAATACCATTTAGCACCCCTAAGCGTAAGCGTGTCTTTTATTCAGGCCAACGGATAACTATTTTTCTTAGTTGCCTATAATCTATGCAAAATCTCGGACTGCCATCTTTTTCTCCACTAGCACAAGAGACGTCCAAGGGTCTGAATGGTTCAATTATTCCTTGACTAGCCATGTCGGTGATAGTCTTTTCAGTTACTTAATAGGTTTGGCAACTCCCATATTTATTTTGTGAGGTACCATAGTGCTTCGTCCGACAAGTCCTTTCTCTGAAGCAAACACCTCTTGGTAGCGGCAAATTAACCTTTTAGCTTGTTCCTTTTGGCTTGTTGTCAAACTCTTGCGTAAGGTTTTGATCATGGATTGAAGCCTTTCTGAACACATCAAAGTGTCACCACTCTTGACTGTACTCACACAACGCGCGATTACAGCTACTGGGGTACACGTCCCAATCTCGATGCTCTTCGTCGGGAATGAGTTCAAATTCATCAGCCGAACAGGAGTTAGTTGTTTAGCATTTACTAGCACCTTGTCAATCAAAATTCCTCGGCCCATATTAGTATAATTGGGTTCCATTACGACCCAAGCAGTTTTCCGAGCCTTCACAACTTTCGCGCAACACTCCGGCAGGGTTACGATCATCTACAGGCGTAACACGTAGCAGCCCCTCTTCTTCTCTACGAATAGGAACTTCTTCATGGTCTTCTCGAAACACTCCCTCCTTCAGGTCTATCGTAAACCATTTCCAACATCACCTCATCGACTATCTCTGCTACCAACGCTTGATGCGTACCTTTCTTTAATCCAATACCATAATCGACCGTCAGCTCTCCCAGTACAAGAACTTGATCACCAGTTGCAGTCTTCAGCCTCAGTTCTGACGAGTAGCTTTTTCTCTCGAACTAGTTCAATTTTGGCGAATTAGATTAGTTCTACAAAATCGTATACCTACCTACACTTGAAATCGGGAGTGTGTCATTGATTTGTGAAACAATTTCAGACAAGTTTATTTAATCGATTTCGCACGTGATCGATGTTACAGTGTTTTAACGTATCTCTGCAATTGATTCACAAGTCAATGACGCAGGGCCACAGATTCTTGATTTTAAGTGTAAATCGTATAATGTTGTGGATATCAAGGTTAATAATACTTTATTCGTAATGATGTAGACCAAAATTATAGGAAAATATTCCACAAATAAATAAAATCGCGTGTTTATCTTAACGAATTTGAAATTTTTTGAAAAATCTTTGAAAATATGTACCTAACTGACAAATCACTGGAAACTGAAAATGTCAATTTTCCTCTTCATTTTCTCTTCTTCCTGCTATGGGCACTTTTTTTCGGATAATCTGAAAATCTGAATCTGGCCATATTGGATTTTGACGGAATGAGATAAGAGGACCAAAAAGGAAAATCTTTTGAATGCATCGCCATAATAGCCACGTTGATTCAGCAAGATCTAGTTACCCGTGGATGTTTTGTTGAGAAATGAACGTAAAACATTTGATTTTGAATTTTTTTTTTGTAAATGTGTATAAAATTATAACGGTTTTTTTTGTTATCTCATTCCGTAAAAATCCAACATGGCGTCCAAGATTTTTAAATGCTTTTTTTTAATCACAAAAAGGGGCAACCTCGGAGGCAACTTTGTCCCCATTTACCATACACTGTATCTCTCACCGACGAATATCCCAGTGGTGAGGCACGAATTTGAACACCCAGTACATACAGACGGAAAAGAAATTTATTCTTTAATTAGATGAAATTTTGATGTCCAAAAAACGGTGATCGCAATTGCCAAGCTAGGAAGCTAAAAAACGTGAGTTGAGTAATCATCTTTTACAAATTAACCAATCGCGAAGTAGATTTTGCAGTAGCTTGTACTTGTCCGTTTTGATATACAGGGAGGAATGTGAGGCGATATGACAATCGAGGGAGGCATATTTGACGGAGATTTTCATTCGTTTCCAAAAGGTGTAATGTCATTTTATTTACACAGTTCCATGGGATTTATCAACAGCTTTTATTTGATGTGCCCGACGAGATTTATAATGGTATGTTTACATCGGATGTGGTAGGGATAAAGTGAGAAAAGGTAAACAATTGAAAATGGCCTTCATTGGTGTTCAGATGCTTAATAAAATACGTATGACAATATATTATAATATCTCGTTTTCTAGTTATAGTTATAGTGTTTTAATCGCCTTTTTACACACGCTCAGACGTGTTTTAAACAGTGATTCTGATGCAGGTATAATAAAATAGTATATTATACAACGCGCATAGAATGTACTCTATTAATCACGAGAACGAAGTTCACGGAACGAGCCGAAGGCGAGTGGAGCAAATCGTTCGAGTGAATAATTGCCATTCTATTTATTAGGTAGTTTAGGGTGGACCGTTTTAGTTAATTGACGTTTTCCTAGTTCCTGCGTTAACTACACTACATTTGTTTTCCTTTTTAATTTCTTTAAACTCCCACTTCCCATTTCGAAGAGGCGGTTTTTGCTTGAAAAATTCAATCTTAGCATCGAAAAGTGTTCACGCAAGACTAAATTCTTCGACAACATCACCTAATTTTTTTATAGATCGCCCAAGAGCTTTGTGGTGCTCACAACACACTATCACTACATGTCCCAAAGTTTCGATCGAGACCTAATCCTAGGAAGATATTATTTCACAACCAATCAAAATTTGCAAAATGGGTATGTCACTATAATTTCATCTTCAAAAAAACTAATGACACTATGAACATTCACACTTGGTATGTGGTTGAGATGGTTCCTAGGTTGGCGCTAAGGGAAGTGTTTTCTTGGTCACACACCTCTCATACGATTTTCTTCGTTCTGCCCTGTTTACTTGGTAGGAGACACTTGTACGCAACTTTCCCTTCATTCGCGCAGACAGACAGACGTGTTCGAACAGACAAAACATCACAAATCAGTCATCAGCTATATACGAGGGACGTTTCACATTAATCTAACACTCGGTGGATGGCCTTCAGAGTTGGACTGGGTCAAGCATAGAGTGACCCAGTGACCCGGTGACCCAGTTAGTTTACTGACCCAGTGACCCGGTGACCCAGTGACCCGGTGACCCAGTTGACCCGGTTACCCAGCTTGACCCGGTGACCCAGCTTGACCCAGTGACCCAGTTTGACCCAGTGACCCAGCTTGACCCGGTGACCCAGTTTGACCCGGTGATCCAGCTTGACCCAGTGACCCATCTTGACCCAGCTTTACTCAGTGACCCGTCTTGACCCGGTGGCCCAGTAATTAAATTATTGTTAGGTATCATCCAAAACAATTTCAAGTAACTTTTAATTTTAAAAAAAAACTTCCTCAATAATATTCGGCAACAAGCACTTAGCCCAATTTCATTCAAGAGAACTAATACCTAAAAAAATCAAATGCATTTGTTTATAGTTTGTAGTCAAGTAGTCAATGAAAGTATTTAGAGAAAAGATTTATTTGGATTAAGCTAACTAGTAGAAAAAAATTAAATGTGAATGAACACCTGTAAGCAAACTGGTAAGCCCTGAAGCAAAGAAATAACATTATTCTAATACAATTCGGGACATGGAAAGTTTTTTACGGCAGTATTAAAGCAAACATCACAGAAATGGCAGTTGTCAAGCAATCGAGTATTATTTTCAACAAACCAGCATTTCATTTATTTTATAATCTGTACACTTGAACCGAGGGCACTGACTTAACTGCGTTATTCGATCAAACTAGGTGACTGGGTCAAACTGGGTCAAGTTGGGTCACTGGGTCTAACTGAAAAGAGTATGACGTGACCCAGCGACCCAGTGACCCAGTTTAATTTAGTGACCCAGGTGACCCAGTGACCCAGTCCAACTCTGATGGCCTTATGTGGGAAGGAATATAATATTGCCCTCTATAATTTGCTGTCGAAAAAATAACTTTGAGGGCATCGTTTTGTTACGAATAAACTGAAATTTGAGCAAAAAAATTTTTCTCGAAAATGGATATTCTCGCACGGCTTAAGGTATTGTGCGCGAGTGCACCATCCTGTTGAAACCAAGTTTCCAACCTATTTTTTGTGTGCCGTACATTGTTGTATTTGT